TACCAGCCGGGGCGCCCGGATCACCGTATTTCCCCGAACGGCCCGGCCGTGCAAGGACCACGGAAGGTCCTAGCCAAAAAAATAAAATAAAAAAATCTGAAAAAAAACTATGTTATGCAGAAAAATAAACTGCACAACTTTTGCCTCAGGGTCACATCGAAATTTTTTACCAAATTTAAAATAAAAAAGTTAATATATATATTATATATATGACGATATATCGTCACAAACAGAACTGCCCGGTAAAACCGTAGGCAGAGAGAGAGAAGAGGACAATAAACGAGGGGCTGTTAATTTTTTTTTGGGCCCGGCCGGGCAAGTGGCCCCGGGCCACTCTGGTAGCCTAGGAAAAAAAGGGAAAACAAGGGAAAACAAGGGGAAAAAAAAACAAAGACAACAAAGAAACAAAGAAACAAAGAAACAAAGGGAAAAAAAAAGGAAAAGGAAAAAAAAAAGACAAAAGAAAAAAAAAAAGAAAAAAAAGAGGAGATAAAATAAAGAAAGGTGATGAGATCATAGTGGAGAAATATTCTGTCTCTGTCTGAAGTTAACCGCAGCGCTAACGGAATGAATGAAAAAGAAAAAGGCTGAACAGATCGACTGAAAAAGAAAAGTGTTTAACTTAACGGTAACGTAATGACTGAAAACGAAAAGTGTTCAAACTTAACGGTGCCGTCTTCTCCTGAACTCAATGCACCCTATTCATGAATGTATCAAGCCATCTTTCTGGTTCGGTACAGTCGTTTTTTTAACCAAAATCGGAAATTGGCAAGATTTCTGTGTACAAGACGGACTTGGCGAAGCTCCAAGATTTCGACTGGAACTTCCATTCCAAAAACCTCAGAACTGGTTATAGTTTTTTTGGGTTTCTGTAACTTTTGTTTTTTTTTATTTAGTAAAAAAACGTTTGGCAAAACTTTCGAGGCTACACTTTTTTTATTATTATGAATTTAATAATAATTAATCTATATTCTTCTCTCAATCTTCTTTGTATATATTATTATATTTTCCTCATCTATCTCGTCGTCATCTTTCGAGGGTACACTTTTCAATCAAGTAGCAAATCTGTTGTTTCGTAATTACAACAACTCATGATGAAGGTGCGTTGCGTTCGGGGAAAGACTTCAGCGCTAGACGTAGTATTACAGTAGTTTGCGGGGAGGCCACTCAAGGCAAGAGCTGTCTCTTATACACATCTAGATGTGTATAAGAGACAGGAGAAGGAGAGAGGGGAAGAGGAGAGAGGGGAAGAGGAGA